AGATCAAGAAATTTTCGAACACCACGTCCTCTCCCCCCTCATTTTTTCCCTCACGATGGGGCTAGGTTTAGCCCACAAATTCTCAGCTCCATTGCAAGATGCGTTCTACCAGATAAAGTAACAACAGCACGTGGCCTTTGATCCGGCGACACCTCCGGATATTTACCTTCGGAACGACACAACTAACGTAACTTAAAGGCAGGAAAATCTTTTATGTGCCTTTGCTATGGTGACCAACGTGGTTGCTGGAAGCGCCGGTGTCGTCTGCAGCACGTCGACTCTGTTTGTGAGTCAAAAACGCAGTATGTGCTTCCAGCTCTAGCTGCTAACATGTTGGTAAGTGGCTACACCAATGCATTTGTCCAGAAGTTGCATCGTCCCGCCGAGCGGTATCTACGGCGGTCAGTGGACCGATGGGCGCGTGGCTTTGCTAAATCAGCTGGTCAACCATGTCTTGTGAGTGTCCTGAACTACAGCTAAACCTAGATATAATGAAATCGACCAATTCCCGGAAAAATTCATTATAAATAGGATTTCGTTCTATCTAGGTTCGGTACGAAAATTAGGGAAAAAAATGCGCAAATATAAACAAATGGAGTACTGAAGGCATAGCTAACCTGAAACACTTATTTAGCGGTAAAGAACTGCATTATCACTGCGATACCAATTATATGGACACACTCAGCGGGTTTTTCACATCGCCGCCATGTTCCGTAACAAGTTCAAATTGATAACGTGCCCCCGCGCATCATAACTTCCCCGAGCGGGTAAAAGCGCGCGAGTGCCACTGAAGCAGAGATTGAATGAGTCGGCCCATCTCTATCACCTGGAAGGCGCACAAGATGACATCCCCCACATGTTAGAGCTGCCTTCGAATGCTCAAAAAGAAAGAAAACCACCCGTCTTCAACGAGCATGAAAAAATGCAAGAGGGGGGGGGGGTCGCTTGAGCAGCAAGAATGAATTTTCATTTTAAGGGCACGGTCATGATTGCTGGCAAGCATGCTATCTTGCCAAGTATATCAGTGTCCTTTCAACGTGAAGAGACTGTGTGAAAAGAGCGCTTGTCCCTGGAGTGACCATATTTGCTCACACCAGTGTTTTGTAGGAGTTCCGCAATATTGTATCCAAGAGTTGGCTGCCAGCCTTACTTTGTATAACATTACAATTTATTGCTATCGCGTTCATTGCATTGCATTCAACGCACTGTCGTTTTGTTTCCAGAGCTAACTGACTAATCGCAAAGACTACGAGCCTGCAAACTCGTGGCGCAAGACTGAATCATGTGACGAGTTGGCCTCCGAAGATCCGTCATCACTGTTGTCTCGGAGAGTTTTCATCAGCGCCTAATCTGATAACCCCTCGGCAGTAATGACATGGTTGTCCGCATTAAAAAATTAAAAAAAAAGAAAGGAGGAAAAAAAATCAAAGCTGTACGTAGTCGGGGGGCCACACCTTGCGCGCGCAGTGAAACTATGCACACGCGCACGGCGTCGAAAATGAAGAGCAAACGACACGGTTACCGCAGAAAACTATTCGGTAAAGCGCCTTCCATATGCAGCACGGCCCCACATATGTGATGCTAACTAAAAGTTTGGCACTGCCAACGCAAAAGTAGTTGTCTTTTTTGTTCTTTTTTTGTTTGTTTAGTGGGGTGGGGGGGTCATCCGCATATACACTTGCGGCAGCGAGAACGGTGGCAACGTCGGATTGTGGGACAGAGGTTCCGCCTGCCGGCCTCGCGCTCACTCTCAGCTGGTTGTCGCCAGGATCATAAGTGCGCAAAAGGCACCGCCGCCGCTTTGCGCTTTGTCGGCAGCAGAGCGCCTGCGTAAGTTCCATGCTCATACCAAAATAACGAAATTCCAGGCGAAATTCCTAGATTATCCATCGGGAAAATTCATTATATGAAGGTTGTCTCCGCCAATGTTACTTTGTTACATAGAAGTCACCAACATGTGTGCTTCTACGGAGCAACGAATGGAAATAAAAACAACCTTGTTATATCGAAGAATTTGTTATATTGAGGTTTGTTATAAGCGAGTTTGACTGTATTAGGAATATATTTGACACCGCAGTTTAGGGTCTGCGCGCTTGGATTGATTGATGATGCAAACTAAAGATTACCAACGTGGCCTCTATTTCTGGCTGAAATTAGCGCAACTGAGAAAATTTTGAGGATGGTTGGGCATTTTGGTGCAGCATGGTACAGTTTTAGTAAATTTCATGAATTTGGTGCGGAAATGAGCATTTGTATCAAATTAGTGCAATTGGCACAGCTGTTGCACCCCTGCTTAAGAGAACCGTTTGAAGCAATCACCAAGTTTCCAAAGACTGTCTGGGATGTGTGGTAAAGAGAAGTTCTTGTGTGTGAAGCCCGGCCATGTGAGCAGGATGGCTTCAGTAAGGTGAGCCGTGAAAGCAGTTCATCTGTCAGTGATGATTAGTTTCATTACTGCACAAAACATTGTCACACCTGCCAGCCTACGAACTTCTGGAGACTCCGCCAAAGAAAGATGGAGGGGGGCAGAAGAAATTCTTTTTTAAGGCGATGCCCTTCATTGTTTAACAATACTGCCCTTATCTCAATTGGTAACTTGCAGTAAAACTTTTTTACATACTCAGAATTCACTGCATATCAGTAGTGCAGGCTTTTGTAAACATGTGAGACAAATACAGCTGTGAATTCGCACATTAATTTTATGGACAGCTGAGAATCGCTTGCTCTTTCTTTGGCCAACTGAAACAAGCACAACCAATGGCTAATTTCAGCAATGTGAACGCATTCTCAGTAAAGTTTACAACTGGTAGTTTCGAGTGCAATAAACAACAGATATAAATTTACTTACTTCGGAAACATTAAACTAAGCCCTGATGGTCCTTCCTATCTCGATCAATCGCCATCTACTTATTCTGGTTCTTCCCATGTTCATTCGAGGTGGCACGCTGCTGAGTAAAACCAGTGCAATTTCAAAGTGTACAGATACTACTACAGTTCATATAATCAGTTCCAAACCGACTGACACACTGGCCAGTGCATACTTTTTCTTTTCTTTCAGCTTGCAAGCTAGACGCTTCGGCAGACATCACCAGGGATGCAACAGCCAAAATTTAATTTGGAGCAATTTTTGGAGAAGTAAGATGTTACTTTTGGAGCACTAAAATCAATATTTGGAACAGGTTGTGGGAAGAAAAAAAAAACAATTTTTTATCATGAAAGACCAAATCTGAAGCATTATAGAAAAAGAAGGCCTAAATATAGTAAAAGAATGTATGCACAAAACATTCAACCAATCTCAATCGTGCAGAGCAAACAAACACTGCTACATCAATAAATGTAGTGTTCTGAATTACCCCACTGAGCAAACAATGATGGAGCCCACATTAGCATTTGCTACGCCTGTTGAACCCTTTGATAGACTCTGCAAATTCAAATGGGGCTTTGCCAAGCTAGCGACTTTGAAATTCGGGAGATTCCTAAAACCGAGAAGTAGGGAAGGCAAAAAAAAACTGATGCAAAATTTTTTTTAGGGCGGCAAAAACGTCATGCGCTGCTCCAAACGATTACCAGTAACATATTTAGACATCAGTGATGATAGCAGTGCTCAATTATCCTGCGCTACAAGCATGAGTAATTGAACAAAATGTGCTGTGTCCCGTGACTATAGCGCTAACAGCCCCTTCCAAATCATATTACACTTTTCCGCGAGACATCAGTATATTGCGTCGAAAGTGGCTTAAGCACCGTTCTGTGCGGGTTTCAACAGGGCCAAGCAATTTTCGAACCGCTACACCCCCCCCCCCCCCCCCAAACCCCGCTGTTTATTTATTTAGTTATATTTTGCCCAATAGAGGTTAGGCTTAGAACACAACTTTTCGTCTCGCTTGCAAGGCGCGTTCGACCAAATAAAGTAACAATATCGTGCGCCTGTTGGTTCAGCGCTGGCGCCGGATATCTATCGCCGGGACGAGGCAACTCGAAGCCAGAAAAAATGTTTTTGTGCTATTGCTATGGCAACCAGCGTGGTGGCTGGCAACGACCGCGTTCACCACACGTCGACTTTGTTCGCGCGTGGGAAACGCGGCACATGTTTCTAACATGCGATACCGCCTTTGCTGACTAGGAAAATCATATTTCCGGCGAAGCGTTGGTGGCCATGGCAACATATGTTTTTTTTTTTTTTTTTTTTTTTTCCCGTTTGCATGATGTTCTGTCGTCCCGCCGACAGGTATCCGCTGTGGTCAGCGGACCGGTGGGCACACGGCATTATTACTTCACTAATGTTTATCTGGTCATCTCGCGAGTGTCCTCACCTGAGTATATAACTTTGCACCGCAGTTTAGGATTAGGGTCTGTGTGCTTGCTTTGATTTCTCGCTCAGATTAGCACACCTGAGACAATTTTGAGGCCGGCCGATCATTTCGGCACAGCCTGGTGCGACTTCAGCGAATTTTATGGTTTTGTCGCAGCTAGGCACAACTATGGGGAATTGTATCAAATTGGCGCAATCGGTGCAGCTGTTGCACCCCTGCATCACTTGATGTGAAGCTGTACCATAATGCACTTTCTGGGTTTTACTACAATCCGTTAGTCAACTTGAAGCCATACAGACCTGGTGAGTACCAGCTGCTTGCAGAGATTGGCCCATACTTGAGAACAACAGTAGCGCAGTAGCACTAGAAGTGCTTGTGTGCTGTATAGTTACCGCTGGCATAACAACATGCTGCTGTGGTGGTTCCATGATTACTATCAATTTTCCAGATACCATATTACATATATATATTGGAACTGAGTTGAGGCAGTTCATCATATTTAAGGCTGCGATTGTGCAATATGGAAGACAGTAAGAAGTAAAAAATCAAGAGTTTCCTGGGCAAGTTGGAAGTATCGGCAGGTTCGCACTATCAAGGAGACAGTTAACAAATTGCAGGATGGGGAGCATACTTAGGTTAGGTCACCTAACAGCTCTAGTTGGCCAAGAGGGGTGAAGGTTATCGTACCTGTAGCTGGCCAAATCAGGTTCTGAGAGGAACTCCCTGAGAAGCATGCCATCGGTCATGTACTTCAGCACTGTCCGCTCTGACGTGCAATCCTCGAACCGGATGCTGTAGCCCACCTGAATGACATGCACACAGGTTCAGTGTCTGGCAGAGGATGGAATGTGTCAACTGTATTCCAGAAACAAGAACAGACCCTTTGAGTGCTGTGAGCTGGATGAACAACAATTTGACCTCCTTTCAATGACAAGTCAAAACCACGCAAATTTTTATTATGAATTTAATACATACGTCATTTCACTACCTGAATTGACTTGATTATGTGGTAAAGGCAGGCTCTCTCAAAGATATTACAGGTGGTCATCAGCAATGACTTCCCCATGTATTTGCTACCAATAACATCAGTAAAACAAAAGCTCCAGGATCCAGCATCAAAATGACAACCCAGATTATCTGAACTAAGACCTTGCATGCTTTGCTTAAAAAAACTGAAATAGTGAGACCTAGTGAAACTGCATGACATTCATTTTTATTTTTTTATGCATCTACCATCAGTACCTAATCTTAGTATTCAAGTCTATGAATATGAAACAAGGTAAGGGTCGTAAGCAATGGTCAACTGTAAATGCTTACAAGGAATGAGGCAAAAAAACGAGGTTGTTCAAAAAGTTTCTCATCAGCACAGTAGATACTGACTTTCAGATATTTAAAATAGGTACACAGAAATAAGTCAACATTTTTTCTTTGACCACTTTTGGAGGGCATGTTGCGATGGCGCAGAAGTATGTGGAAAAAACTCGGTGAACTTTCCCACTGTATGCAGGTGACATTGACTGCTGAGCAGCTCTTTGTAAATGGTAAATGCATATGCGGCACAGAACTTGCTAAAGCTGTCCATAAGTTCTTTCAGGAAGTGGTTAATATTAAACAATGTGTTTCTCCTGTAACCTACGGTATTCGAGAAAACAACCACATTACCTATTTAGACCCAGGCGATGATGTGTGAGGTATTTATTAAGCTTGTGGAAATAGTGATTTTGGTCGAATAATTTATAATCACGTTTGAATAGTACATATGACATATAAAGAAAAATGGGCATATTGATCATGACATAACTAACCTGCACTATATATTTTTTTAAATTGAAATAGGGCCTCTATGCAAATGCCATTTGTTTGATTTTTTGGTTTAAAGGAGGTCAAAACAACTTCAATTAATAGCAGGATTGCAGGATTTTTTCGGTGGGATGCGAGTCATAACCCGTAGAATACGTAACATTTTAAAATTTATTATACTTAAAGCATAAAAGTCGTCATAACAAGCTTTTAAGCCTAATAAAATGAATTAATTTTAGCACAATATTGAGGATTGCCACTGGTGGCAACTTTTCGCCGAATTGGTGAATTTGAGAGGCCCGTTGCGATCTAAAATTACGAATGGCGATATGGCAAATTATAGGCAATTTTCGGCTTAGGTCTTGACTGCATTATGCATGCTATACTCAGTGCATTCAAAACAAATGAATGATATTGTTTTTTTTTCTATTTTAGAAAGCTTTAGACGCCCCCCTCCCTTAGTAGAAGGTGCAATTTACGCGCAGTTCAATATGTCAGTACGACACCTAAATTCTGAAGGCACTGGCACACGGTGCGTCCACCAGCAACCTCCCAGCAAAATTCAGGTCTGCGGACTGCTTCGTGTGCCGCGGGGTGATGGCGTTACACGAAATTCTTTAGGTGCTTTAAAAACTGAAAGCTTTCTTTAGTTTCGCTTCTGAAGTGGTTAGATGATGCTTAGGCCACGTGTTTCAACCACAGCTCCAACTTTTAAGAATAGCTTGTCGACTTCTTCACTGCTCTGGTACCCCCTAGTGTGGTATTTTGAGTTTCTATCTGCTTTCAACACACCTCCCTTATTGTCAAAGAAGTCGGCTTTTTTGGGCAGCCTTCAGAAACTGCACTAAGCCAAATGTGTAGCGGAAATATTACCGCACAAAAAAAAATGTAGAGTGGGTATTACGACAGTTACACAGTACTAACAGACTTATCTGCATTGTTTTGTAATTAAGTTGTTAAATTATCACACACATGATTCCCCTGCAATGAAATTCTTTAAGTCTGCAGAAAGGCTACACCCACCGTCCTTGCCTTAGTGTAGCGAGTGCTTCACCCTATGTTTGCTACAATTGAAACCATCACAAATGTTTGTTACCAGACACTAGCATTCAGGGGCGCTGCTGTTGTGGGCATGCCCTTTCTCAGTGCTGCCATGATGAAGCGGGTAATACGACCCTAAGCCCACTAAACCCTCCCATGGTGAAGCGGGTGATGCGGCTGGCATTGGAAAAAACGTAAATATAATTTAGGAGTTAAGAATGGTACTGTACTTTACGGGGCAATACATAATTAGCAATTTTTGTTACTAGGAACGCTGCATATACTTGTATGTAGAGTGGCAACTTTTTTTGGCGGAATTTGAACAAAATTGGCGATTTTTGGCGATTTCTTGCGCGTAATTTGGCGAATTTTGCTCGAATGTCAGTGGAAACCCTGGTAATATTTTAATTTAAAGGGGCCCTGCTACACTATTTCAAGTAGCCATAGAATGAATTCAGTAAAGAAGCTTATTGCCTCATGAATGCACCGACCGCCACAAAATTTTGAGATCCGTCCAGTTCGAGCGGAGTTTCAAAAATTTGTTAGAAGCTGCAAGTGCATTCTTCTCGTTCCAAGGAAAACGCCAGAAGCTAAGCAGGGAGGAATGGCACGGGGAAAAAAAATCGTCGTGCGTGCTTTTTGAGCTTGTGGAGTCATTTGCCGAGAGAATAGAGCAATTTTTAGCTAACTTTGAAAATTTATTGTGAATTGGAGGCCGTTGGCTGCGCTATAATATTTGGCTCGCATGTCCTCGGTAGGCCCGACTACCGATCAGCAGCCTCGACTACTGATCAGCAGCATTTTCCCACAATGCTTAAAAAGAGTTGCAGGGCCCCTTTAAATTTCAAGTGGAGCTTTGCGGCAGAGCTGATTTTGCCTGAATAGGTGCTTTCACGGTTTAACTGCCGTATACTGGTGTGAAACAACCTTTACAAGCGATTACATGTGAAATAATATGCATCTATTTGTTCCTTGAGAATACTTAAGTTTTCAAAACTTAAATTCGAATCGAAGCGAGTTCGAATACCCTACCATTCGTTAGAATATTTGATGCATTTGAATATTTGCAGAAGCCTAGTATTTATGCATATATAAGAAACAGCAGAGCTAAAGATATTGATGATATGCAAATTAAACTTATAAGCACTTGTGCTGGGTTAGTTGGTGCATCATTATGAAAGAAAATTCTAGACTAACTGTGTCCCAGTGCTTCTTCATTCTTGCTGTGTTCAGGCATCTAGAACTTTCCCTCATAATGACATACAGACTGAGTTGGCAAATTTTGTACTTGATATTGTTGCTCCCTGTAAGCTCACATACAGACCTTCACAGTAACAAAAGTCTGTTCTCCAAAATATGCAGATCTCTAAAGTTATTGTTGCACATAAAAAGAGTGTAATGAATGAGCTGCCTAATTATACACCAGTTGCTATGCTGTCAATAAAATCAAGCCTTGAGAAGGTTATTTGAACCGCCAACAAAACTTACACCTTAAAAAATTAATGTCAGCAATTCTTTCTCCATGGCACGCCAACTGAATCTGTCCTGCTGACCCAGAAGAAAATCATTCTTTAGGCTTTTTAATTGAAAGAGACATCTGTGGCGATTCATACATAAATTTTTCGAAGGCTTTGGATTAAGTTCATCACGATAGCTTATGAGAAAACTGCAGCAAGTATGTAGTTTTCATGGAACACCACAGCTCTTGATGAAATCCTATTTGAAGCACAGGTTTCACTGTGTCAGGTTAGGAATGGCGGTCTCATCTTCGAACAAGTAGACACTGGCCAAGGAAGCTTAGTGCATCTTTTATTGGTCACCCCGTACCTAAATACAATAAAAAGTATGAATAAAACATTCAATTACATCATTTACAGAAAAACTGTTACAATGCTTAATACCAGAAATAAATAAAACATTAAAGAAGTAAAAATGAAACTCTTCGTAGTTTAATTATGACAAAACAAAGGCTGTTTCTTTTTTCCATCCACTTTGGCTTTCAGTGATAGTCCCTCATTCAGGTAAAGTGCCTATAAAATTGAGAAAGTTAATAAAAATTTTAGGGGTGCTATTTTGAAAATATGTCCTGGGGTGATGATTTAAACTATGTTCCATCTAATGTACCTAGCTAAAAGCATCTGTGTTACAAAATTTCGACACATTCTGCTTGTATCGATAAAGCTAATAACACACTCTTTTCATATTGTGCAAAGTTAGCACTGAGCCAATGGTAAAATTTTGAAAGCGAAGCAAATTCGAATTATAGCCTGAGTGGAGATTGAACAAAATAATTCTAGAGTATTTCTAGAATATTTTCAATTACTTTGAAGGAAAATTACAGTGGGAAATGTGCAGCAGATTTCTAAACATATTGTCATGACATGGGAACATGAAAATTTCTTATGGCTATGTTGATGAAGCACTAGAATGGTGCTGCTCAGTAGGGTTCCCCAGATGTCTCATTACGGACAAAATGTGGAGGCCAAATCACATTTATTTACATGACCTGCTGAAACCAAAATGGTGCCAACAATTCACACGTTGGTGTGGGCCTCAGTGGCGATGGGAGACATCGCTTGTTTTGCGGGCATGGCCACGCCAGACAAGTGCGAGTGCGGAAAATTTTTTTCAAGACCACAATTTCAATTTATGTATTAGCCCGTTCTCAATCTGATTCCAAAATGTTACAAGAGACTTGCTGAAAACTACCTAAAAGTGCAGTAAAAACTTGTTCTGCCTGCTGACATGACGAAAATCGCCAAGACCCTATAAAATGCTAAACAAAGGCCCCAAAACTGTTCAGCTCGTTTGCATATATGAAAAAAGTTTTTCTCTTCGAGTTAAACGCATCCTGCATCGAATCTGCTTCCTGCAGAGGTAGCCCACTTGCTGCTCAGCCACTCACCTCGTTTCCCAGCTTGACACCCATCTCCTCAGAGACCCGAGCAGACACACTCATGGCAGCAACTCGTCGTGGCTGGGTGCAACCAATCTTCATCTTGTCGGCCGTATAGCCCTGAACAGAATTGATTGATTGATATGTGGGGTTTAACGTCCCAAAACCACCATATGATTACGGCAGACCCCGTAGTGGGGGGCTCTGGAAATTTCTACCACCTGGGGTTCTTTAACGTGCACCCAAATCTCAGCACATGGGCCTACAACATTTCCGCCTCCATCGAAAATGCAGCCGCCACATCTGGTATTTGATTCCGCGACCTGCGGGTCAGCAGCCGAGTACCTTAGCCACTAGACCACCGCGGCGGAGAAGCCCTGGACAGAAGAAGAAGGGCAATACACCAAGAGGGCCCGAATTCGAGAAGTGGGAGTGAGCTGGCATGTGTCCTCTGCAGCACAAGGTGCATCTCTTGAATCTCGCATAACAAAAAAATATTTAAGAAAAGTCACACTGAAATTCCTTCATAGAACATGTCAAAGTTGAGTACAGAGGTTCTGTAAAGAACTACACTGACACAGATTCAAACACAACAATTTGGGGTAAGTAAAAAGGGCCAGCACAGGGACTAATTGGTTGTACATGCAGTAAAACCTCGTTAATTTGTAGTCACTGGGACCGAGGAAATCTGCATATTAAGCGTGTTTTCGAATTAACAGAACATATAGAAAGTGGGATGCAAAGAACTTGAAATTATTAAAAGTAACCAGGGCTAGTTTGCGACTCCAACAGTCATGTTTTCTAGCAATACCAAGTCATGATTTCGCCACAAACAAGGGGGAATGCAGGGCCTCACTGCTGCCAAAAAAAAAAAAAATCATAATAATCAACTAAAATGCGTGCCTGCAAAAATTAAGCCATCTTTGCTACAACCCAGTAATAACACGCAGACAGCATGTCGCCTGCCCCTTGCTGCGTCAACATGTCATGATGTGACCATTCGCCCATTCTTTTTAGTAAACATAATAACTTAATAATGCACAGTGTGACGAAATTTGTGATGTGTTTTGGGCTAGGAAACATGATCACTAAAATTTCCGAACTGAGTTTTCGAAATAGACATTGCAGGCAAGAACTCCGACAGCAGTGCAAGTGCGAAAAGTGGTGGTGCAACCGCCACTCGGACGTTCGCATACATCACGAATTCCGCCAGAGTGTCCTTATTATTTTTCTGTATATAACAGGAAATAATGGGTAAATCGTGACAAGCTGACGTTGCGAGAAGCATGCGACATGCTGCTCGCGCGTACCTGCTATGATGCAGTGAAGCACGTCTTGTTTTCCGCAGGTGCCTTTTTCAGTTGATCACTTGACCGCTTTTTTTTCCCCCACAGTGTTATTTTTCGCACTGGAAGTATCAAGGTTGGCATGCTTCAGCTGCTACTTATTAGTATCGCTACAATACACTGCATAGTGTCTCTTAAGAGCTGTTGTTCCCTCAGTTTTGTGGCGAAATCGGGATAGGCAATTCACCCCCTGCACCCAGAGTTTTCTAATTGACCGGACTAGTGCTGACCGCCGCTTCAAATTATCTGCTCAAACTTACATTGCAAAATATACGACTGCAAAAATACTCCCAACTAAACGGGATTTCGAAATAACCGAGTTCAAATTAATAAGGTTTTACTGCAGTTGACACTTGTAATGCGCTGACTGCAGACGAAAAGCACGTGTGTCCTACCTGGGCCTTTCATTGTTTCTTTTTTTGTGTGCAATCAGCACGTCCCAAGTCTCAACTTGGGAATTAGGAAATCACACATATTTCTTTCCACATTCCACAGTTTGTGCAATATTGGGAGTAATTTTGCTTTGTCTACTTACACCAAGTCAACATTAACTTTAGAGCCACATTCGTAGAGACACGATGTAGTTATCTTGAGCGATTGCACAAAGCAGTCATTAAACTAAAAGCTTTCATGCTGCATTAAAATCTGTGAGCAATATACACATTGCTTTAAAAAAGAATGCACAATTTTTAGTTGTTTTTTTTCTCAACGATAATAAAGTGAACCTTGAACTAGTATCCTACAACAGTATCATCACATGGCTGTACTATATTCATGTTGGTTTATTCGTGTCTTGAAGAAGTATTCAGCTTCAAACGCACTTGATGGCAGTGAAGATGAGGTGCTGTGAAAAAAAATCTCTGTCAAAGGAGTTTTAGAATGATGTACATCATAAAGCCATGACTAAGTACGTCAATACTATATGTATTCAGTTCCCTTTTTTTTTTTTCAGCGTGCAAACTTTTTTGCTCGCGTTCGCTATACCCAAAATATATCTTAGACTACTATATGTACTCGCATAATAGCTGCACCTTTTTTCCAGAAAGTCCTACTCCAAAATTGGAGTTTGCCTATTACACGAGGTAAAATTTCCAAAAATTTTATTTAACTCTACAGCATAAACCGCTGACACTGTAAGTCGCCAAAGTCATGAATATCCGCACTACAGCCAAAACCAGCTTTTTCATCGGCTAAACCAGCGCAAAACATGCCAAGCATGCAGTCTCGCATGTTTTAGAATCGACGCATGCGATGCTGTGTGCTGACAAGCATTCGAATTTCTAAAAGTTAACATCGAAAGACCCGCATTGCCGACAAAATGACTGCGGAAAAAAAAAAACTACGAAAAAAGAGCACCACTGCGGAAATTCACTGGTTAGGTTTCAGGCCATTCAGATTGTGCGCGTTATCCCGACCGAAATGTTATGCACTGAACAGTACTAATCATTCGATTTCATGGGCTCCCATCTTACACAAAGAACATTGAAATGGAATCATGAACCACCGTTCGAGTGTTGCAAGTGCCATGCCCTGCCCTCCTTTCCTTCAAGTAGGGCATCATAAGGAGTTATGTTGATTCAGCAGAAAACAGCAACCTTGATCGTCTGCGAGTGCCCCAAAATAGCGAGAACTGCTGGCTACGCCTAGACATCAGTTCGGCATCATTTCACATGAAGTTTGCACGAGACAGCATAAATACAGGGCGTCGAAAAGATCACACTAAAGCACTGATCGAAAAGCGGCACACGTGATAGAATGCTTATGTTCGTGGCCGGAAAATGAATGGCAACAACAGTTCACCGAGCTTGTGCAAGTCAGTCTGCATAGCGACAGCAATGCCAAAAGCTCACGTCAGAAAACATGAAAGCTTTTAAATTTGTGGACGAAGTAGCCAATGCAATAACGACAATGCTTTTACCAACAGGCACTTGATGAGGATGCATCGCACGTTCCGTGCGTAGTGCGCACAGCCAGCAAATAACCAGAACTGGTGCAGAGGTTACTCCAGTGCCCAAGCAAATGCCCTTCTTTCTCACTCAGCAAACACGTACAGTGCAGGTTTATTTTCTTTTCCTCGGTCATTGTTAACTTGTGTTAACAGAAGAAGGTGTCAAACTGTATACTACTGTATGGAACTACTGATCACGGCCAAGTTCGAGATGTGCCTATTATGCACGATAATAATAAAAAAAAATGACTGGGGGTGCATTTATCATTATGCGAGTAAGTACGATGTATGTGGGTCCGGACTATAGGTGTATTTTTTCGATACTGCAAATATGCGTATGTAATGTACCAGTGTAGCTAATGCTACTTGAAGAATGGTAGGCTGGCCAGTACGTTTGCTAGCAGAGATCATGAATATGCGATCATTAGGTTTCTTTGGTCATGAATACAGGTTGATAGGTAATATTAGGTTACACTTCAGGAAGAAAAAGGATGTCGAATTATATTTGAATGAACACGGTAAGTGATATCAAGTCCTTCAAGCAAAGTTAAGAAAATAAAGGGGATCCAATGAAATAAGAAGCTTGGCAACAACTTACCGCTTCATAGAGGTACTGGGGAATTTGTGTCGTCTTTCCTGAGCCAGTTTCCCCTTCAATAATCAGCACCTGTAACAAAAAGTATTACACAATTTTTTTTAATGTAGACCAAAGCAGTCCAGCTTAGTTTTTTTATGCACATAGTCAGATTATACAGTTAACTCTCGTTAATTTAAACTCAAGGGGCCTCTGAATTCCATTTGCATTACCAAGAAGTTTGCATAATCAGGAGTTCTCAGATAAATGGCTCTGGGCAAGGTGTCACATTGATTTCATCACATATAAGTTTTTAAAGCGTTCTTAAATCCTAACTGCACTCAATAAACAAAAAGCAGAGGTGTAAAATCCACAAGTTTATTGGCCATTTATTACTGATCAGACTTTTTAAAGAAATTGTGATTTGCCACCTGCTTCTATGCTATATGTGCCTTCAGCACAAAGCTCTCTATAGCTGTTAAGAAGTATTACAGTTTACCTTGTGTGTGCTTCATTTACAGCACTTGTTTACTAGAAAGCTTTTTTCCTTGAAGGCCTGATCAGTGGTGCAACAGCCGAAATAAAATTTGTAGAAATTGTGGAGAAGCGAACATTTACTTTTGGAGCACTAAAATGCAAACGTGGAGCAGGTTCCGTAAAAAAAAAAAAAAAAACATCCATTTTTTTATCACGAAAAAGCAAATTTGGAGCAATATATAAAGAGGACACTTACATTAAGAAAAAAAAAACGGGTATGTACAAACTAAGCCTGTGCGAATATTTGAATGCTTCACATAATGAATAATGCAGTATTCGAATTTGCTTCGAACCAAATTTAAGATATGCGAAATTTCAAATTATTTGGAACAACTAAATAAATGCATAATAGTCCACATGTGTCACCCCGTAAAGGTAATTTCACTGCAGTTAAGCAATGCTACGCCATGAAAACACATATCCACAAAAAAACCCGCACTGCCGCGAAGCCCCACTTCAAGGTTAAACGAGGATATTGCCCTGACATCAATTCATTTAGGTTTAAAAGCTTGGTATACCCGCTTATATGCTCTAAGTATAGCAAATTTTTAAAAGTGACATATTTTACAGGCTATTGCTTGCATTCTAGCAAAATTGAAATTATGCTACTATTAAAAGTTGTTGCCATGTTCTTTGACGCAAAAAAAAATTGTGTTCGCGCAGGCCTTGTCTCAATTTTTAAAATATATTGTGTAGGCTTGTTAGGTCACGACAAATATGCCCATTTTTCTTTATAATATGTGGCATATATAATATTTGAATTCGATTCAAAAGTTTTCGACCAAAATCGCTATTCGTTTCGAATACGCTTTGCACCTAAAATTTACTATTTGCACAAGCCTAGTACAAAGCATTCAACATCCCCTGAATCGTGCAGAGTAAACATGAGCACTGCTATTTCAATAAAAGTAGTATATTTAACCACTACACTGAGCAAAATAAGATAAATCAACATTAGAATTGTCCGCATCTTTCAAATACTTTGACGGACTCAGTGAATTTAAATATGAATCTCCCAAGCTGGCGACCTTGAAAATCAGGGGATTGAAGAATTGGGGTAGGAGAAAAAAAAAAGACGCACATTTTTTACAGGCACCAGCAACGTCAAACACTGCTCCAAATACTTGCCCGTAGCATTTTCAGAAGTCAACAATTATACCAGTACTGATAGTTATACGGCATATACACGCATGAGTAAATGAACAAAATGAGCTGCATCATGACTAGTGCTAGAAACCCCTTTGAAATCATAATAACCTTTCCTGCAGGACACTGGCACGGCCACTGGATGAAAGAGCGCACGGGTAAGACCCGCCGCGTGCTCCAAAACCAGCGTGACAGGTCTAGTTCCCGAACCACCGCTGTGGAGCCACCGGGGGAATCCATTTTGTCGAGCGCCCACGGAATCGCATGCGCGGCGCGTTTGCGGTAGTTACAAGTGAGCGCATGCATCTGTGTGCGACCCGCGAAATCTTTAACATCCGTCTAGAGTGTGCCCACCAGGTAATTACCGATCTTGCTTTTACATAGCTGCAGCCCTTGCAAATTTTCGGTATTGTCTTGCCCGAGATGCATGGAGCCTTGCACACCGATCAGGTTTCGCGGAAGTAAGAATTGTGAGGTCATTTTAGTTGGACCCTACAAGATCACAACTAACTGATCTGGAAGAGTTATACTTTTCCTAATGCATCGAAATTTATTATATTAATTGTGAGTATGTCACTTCAGAAAACGTTGCTTCAGATTTAATCATTTCATTTAAAGTAAGCAACCACAGCAATTGCAGTTGCCACTGTTCATTTACCACAAAATAAAATAGACTATGTCCTCCAAACAAGTCTATAGTATTCATACAATACAGTATCAGATGCAACAACCACGAAATATACTTAGCATGCGTGCGATCTCATAAAAGTGGACTCGAGCCTCTTTGAAATTTCAGTGACTATAACTTCAGTGCTGGCAATTGAGCAAGCAGTTATGAAGTGAATATTATGAAACCTGTGAGACGAAAAAAGCGATGAAAGGCTGGAAAATGCGAGCACAACTGTTTGTGTTCCTGCGCTTTTGAATGTTTTGTCTATTTTCATCACGACGTTCTTAATGATAATGCAACTTATTCAACCTTACATTCAACAGTGAACACATAATCGGAACAAATCGCATATATATACTTTATTTATTCTCAATTTAGAGCTCATCCTGGCATTTTTTTTTTTACTTCTTTACACCTTTGCGTAATAAACCAGTTGAAAATTGCTTCACAGCTAGGTAGGCGATATTTTTCAAGGAGAATATCCGAGTGAGTGTATATTAGTTGGCGAAGCTCACTCACTCACACAAAACGTGCCCCGTTCCGTGGCAGACAAGCATATGTTTACGTTCACTCCTCCACAATCACTGGCTGCAAACGTTGTTGCATTTAGGAGTTTTGACACCACCTTCCCGTTTTCTCTTATCTCGTTTTTTTCTAATTCCCGGCTTTTATCTAGTTCTCTTCTAATGCCTGCTTTTAAGCCCTTGGCATCTTTGTAATTTGTTTCAGCTATTTCCAAACGCTGTCGTGTTGTGGACGTCATGCATCTCCTGCAAGGCCATGTGAAACTGATGTTCGTTTTCGTAAAACAGCTCGAGCACCCTCTTCCAGTGAAGAAGTTCGGCTGTCTGTGGTCATTTGCGGAACAGCACACAGACTCAAGCTTACATCTGTAAAACATGCGAAGGCAAAAAGGTGCCGAAAAGCAGCTGGTGGGTGACATGGTTTTATATTTAAAAAATAGAAATACTGGCAGCCGACACAAACGTTGAGAGCATCTGGGCGGGTGATTGCGAGGAGGGTTGTTATGAAAAGAGCTGCGGTAGGAAAAAGATGGCATAAATGATCTGCTCTAATCGTCTATGTTTACTTTTCACGTTATTTGTTATTGTTGTTTTGTTCTGCCTCCATCTTGTGCGCCCAACTTTTGGCTTATGTGTCTATTGACAATAAAACCATCCATTCGGTATTTTCATATTAGCCTCTCCACAAACACTGGCAAATCCCGATAGCACTCCAACACGCTTGTCTTCTGGCAGTCCCCGTCATGCGGTTCTGTCATTCATTACTGTTTATTTGTTCTACTATGTATAATCGACAGATTGGCACCTGTGCTCGCTGAAACAAAAACAAAAGTACTCGACTGCCCTACAGCAACCATGGTCTTGCAATGTGCAAACAATAAAATGTGGTTAATTGTCACTTGACCCGGCCGTATATATAAACTGGGGAAGTGAATGTCACGCATCAATAAATGTAGCTTCAGTTTATCCCTGCAATTTCATGATTTCGTTTCAGAAGTTGAGGTCTGTTATTGTAAGCGTCATTGCTCTAGATATAAGTAACTTTACGCAAGTATATATATATATGTATTCCTGTCTAGTATGAACTATCAAGAAATTGGAATGCCACTTCTAATGATGTATACTTTCGCAGCCTCTTCAATAAAGTTACGAGGAGAGCATCGCCATGTTTGTAGAAACCGCTTTTATCCAGCGTTTGAAGCTGCATTACGTTCCCCGAATAACACATAAAATATTGAAATCATGTTTTTTATACGTTTTAAGCATATCAAAACTATGAATGTATATTGCCAAGTGTCCTAAAAGTTAGTTGTCGAGCATTCTGGCTGAAAAAATGCGAAGGTGCTGAATAAACATCACAAAAATTGAAATACTTTAGTTTAACACATCTTCATAAATAGAACAACGGCTTTGTCACGCATTCAGTGCCAGATAATTCAGCTACATGCATGGTAGATTTTTCTTTCAGACTCAAAGCAAGAAGCTGGTTCTGGAAAAAAAACAAAAAAAACGTCAGGTGCTCGGCACACACACGAAAATTCAATTCAAGACAGCGCCTACGTACTCTACTAAATACGCGATATGTCATCACTGCAATAAATGAGATTCAAAAAACACTGATTAGAACAATTGAGTGGGATTACTGTTGTGACAACCACCAGCTAATTTGCTGCGGCTGCTGCCCCGAGGGAGCCGCCACCACTTGTTTCCCCGTCTCTCCTGTCACCGCCTCGTCGCGCTGCAGTGGCTGCAACTGCAACTACGGCTGACGCGCGCTCTCCCAGTGAAAGCCGCTCGACGCAGTGGGTCGTACCGTGCGCTTTTTCATCCAGCGGCCATGACACTGGCATACTGTGGCAAATGTGATTTAAGCAGCATTCTTCACGGGTTGTAGCAAGGCAACACCACTACGCCTCCTTCGCCTCCTTTTTTTTCCCCCCCACACGACTAGGGTTAGGTTAAGGCCGCAACTTCCCAGATCACTTGCAACACACATTCTACCAGATAGAGTAAAAACGGCACGTGCCCTTCGATCCGGATATTCATCGCTGGGACGATGCAACTAACGCAACTTAAAGACACAAAAAAGTTTTTTTGTGTGCCTAGGCTATGGCGACCAACATGGTCGCCGGCAACGCCCACATTTGCGGCACGTCGACTCTGCTCGCGCGTGAAACACATCGTATGCGGTTCCAGTTCTAATTGCTAACATGCCA